TTAGCAGCATTAATTTTTCCCTTAGTTTTCTTATTTTCCCTGTCCTGAATCTCAGCCCTGATTTTTATTATTTCTTTTCTTTGGCTATTAGTAGGATTGTCCTGCTGACTCTGCTCTAGTTGTTGTAAATTTTGTGCCAGCATATCAGTTAAGAGTCTCTCTTCCTTTCTCAGGTGTGCATGTATTGCTATGAAACTTCCTCCAATAACTGCCTTTGCTGTGTCCCATAAGTTTTGGTCCATCGTGTTCCCTGCCAGCACACACTCCTTTTGCAGTAGAGAGTTATTCATCCTCTAATTGTTTGCTCTTGTTTATTTCCTCTTCCTTTTGTTGATTTCCAGCCTTATGGCACAGTGACCAGAGGGAGACGTCTGTATTGTGTCAATGTGCTTAAACTTATGCAGATTCGCTTTATGCCTCAGCATATGGTCTGTCTTGGAATATGTGCCATGTGGGCTTGAAAATAATGTGAATTTTTTGGTATTTGGATTAAGAGCTCTGCAAATAGAAGGTCAAATTGCCTAATTATAGTGTTTAGATCTCTAGCTTTCTTGTTTAGTTTCTTTCCCTGTGATCGATCTTTCTCAGAGAGCAGTGTATGGAAGTCACCTACTATAATTGTTGAGGCTGTGATTTCTTTTTCATCTTTTGTAGCATTTGGTTGACATATTCAGTTGGTCTCTTGTTCAGGGAATATATGTTTAAAATTCTTAGTGGTTCTTTGTCTATAGTTCCCTTGAGCACTATATCATGTCCTTTCTATGGTTTGCACTTTGAAGTCAATTTTATCTGAGGTTAGGATTGCAACCCCTGTTGTTGTTTTTAAATTGCCATTAGCTTGATATAACTTTCTCCAGTCTGATTCTGAGCCTATTTTTGTCCATAGTCTTGAGATGTATCTCCTATAGGCAGCAGATTTATGGGTTGTGTTTTCTAAGTCAGTCTGCCAGCCTCCGTCTTTTAATGCCTGAGTTCAGTCCATTGATATTCAGGGTTATTATCTTCCTCTGTGGACTCTGTGGTGTTATCTTATACATTTTGTGTTGGGTGTTTTACTACCTCCTTTTCTTATCAGTGTGGTGTGTGTGTGTGTTTCATTCTTGACTTCTTTTCACCCTTAAGCCAATGCTATCTTGGGGGCTGTTTTCTCTTTGTTGCCCTCTGGGTGGGATTGTTCTATGTGGCGGTATCTTATTTATGCTTGGTGAGTACTGTTTTTCTGCCCATACTGGGTCAGCAAGGATCTTTTGTAGGGCTGGGTCTCTTCTAACTTATTCTTTGAGTTTTTCCTTGTCTGGGAAGACTCTTACTTCTCCATCTATCTTGATCGATAATTTGGCTGGATAGAGTATTTTTAGGTTGGCTTTGTTTTCCTTCAGTTGTTGGAATAGGTTACTC